ACACGTGTCACTACAGAGCCCTCAGGGACAGACAGACACGTGTCACTACAGAGCCCTCAGGGACAGACAGACACGTGTCACCACAGAGCCCTCAGGGACAGACAGACACGTGTCACCACAGAGCCCTCAGGGACAGACAGACACGTGTCACCACAGAGCTCCTGGGGACAGATTGGCATGTGTCCCATCAGCCAGGGACCGTTCAAGGAACACTCTTGTCTCTTCCAGCCTCCTCTTCCGCACGGCTGCTCCGCTCCTCTGGCGTCCTGCCTGCCTCCCAGCTGGCCTGGCAGAAGGTGTCCCACGGCTGCCTCGAGGGCTACAGGTCCGTGGCACTGGCGTGGGTGGGTGACAGATGGCGGGTGTGAGGGGTGAGGCCATCCTGCAACATGATGGGGGCTCAGGAGGGAGCCGGGAGCTGTTCCCAGCCCTGCCTGGGAGCACTTCCAGCTCAGCCGAGAGTTCTCCTCTGTCCACCCTGTGGTGGCAGCTCCGGTGCCCCGTGGTGGTGCCAGTGGTGCCCTGATCTGGCACTGCCCTCACCAGTCCTCACTCCCGTGCAGGTGGCTGCAGCACAGCCTGGCCCACCACGGCTCTGCAGCCGTGTCCGTCCTGCGGCCGCAGCTGGAGCTGCTCTGGGACACGGGTGGTGAGGTGGCCCGGGATGTGTCCCAGCAGTGCTACTCCCTGCTCTCATGGCTCCAGGGCAGCCTGCCCTGGCTCAGCGAGTGGGTAAGGGGGGGTTCCTGGGGCTGGAGGAGACCAGGAATGCAGTGGGGGGCTTATGGGAGGGGGAGTGCTGGGGATCTGGGGAGGGGGAGGCCCTGCACCACGTCTCCAGTGCCATTCATCCCCCTATGGTGCCCCCCTGCTCTGACTGCTTCCAGTGGCTGTCAGGGCTGACAGGGAGAGGGCTGAGAAAACTTCCTGCTGTTGGTGTCCTGAAAACCAGTGTTTTGGTGGAAGTTGGGTGATGTCAGTGTTGCACAGAGTGTGGGTGCCCTGTTTGCTGTGTGCTGGAGAAGGGGGGAGGTGGGGAAGGGCTCAGGGGTGAGATGGAACTATCAGGTTGCTGGGACCCCAGCCCTGGACCTGCTGGGGGGTTTGATGTTCACCCCACGCCTGTCTCTGCTCCTGCAGGTCCAGACCCGGCTCCCCGAGTCCCTGCTGCACTTCGCCGAGTGCGTGCGGGAGCTGCTGCTGTTCCTGGTGTGGAGCTGCCTGGTGCCGCTGCTGCAGGGCCTGGCCTCGGCGCTGCAGCAGGGCTGGCAGCGCTGCCTCGACTCCTGCAAGTGAGCAGAACCCCCCGTGGGGTCCCCCAGGGTCCCTTGGGCTCCACTCCCCCAGGGGCTCCCTCAGTGTAGCAGCCACCTCTGTCCCTGCTGGGGGATGGCTCCTCATCCTGCTCCTGGGCACGTGGCACCAGGGCCACCATCACCCTGCCCGAGGGGCTCCTGTATCCCCCCTGTGTCGCCCCTCCTGCCTCTGGCTCCCTTCCCCATAACCCCTTCTTGCTTTTCCAGTGGGGACGTGACGTGGGAGTGCGTAAGGGACCACCTGACGAGTTTCACCTATTCTTCTTGGATTTACCTGCAAAACACAACCCTGGCCCTCAAAAACTGGGCCCTGGCCATGATTTCTGGACACTGAGCTGCTTTCTGGAGAAGGTCACGCCGTCTCCCGACATTCCAACTGCCAGAGGGTATCCCAGTGCAGCTGGATGGGGGATAGAGACGTTGAGGGCGATGCCTACAGGAACTTTGGGTCAAATCGGGGATTTTGGGGGAGGTTTATTTTCTGGGGGACTGGGGAGACACACATACAGGTTTTTTCCGCACCCTGTGACTGCTTTGGCTTTCCCTGTCCCTCTGTCCCTGGTGGGTGATCCCCATCCCCTTGTGCTTTGCCTGCTCACAGGATCAGGGGTGGACACTCGGAGCCCCCACCCACCTCCACACCCCACCCCTTCCCCTGGTAAATGAACTGATTTATTTTATTATTTTTTCCTTATAATTACTCCACGTGCTTTATTTTCTTTTCTTACTGAAGATGCCCGCAGGGTGAAGGGGGTTATCCAGAGCCCCCTGCGCCCCATCCCCAGCACATTTTTGGGGGAGAAGGCACCGTTTCCCCTCGGTGAGCGGGGCCGTGTCTCCGTGTTGAGCACTACAAAGGAGCCGCTGGCGCCGCGCGGCCCCGCCCCGCCGGTTGGCTCAGGGGGCAGAGCGCCTGCCCGGCGTGCGGGAGGTGGCAAGCTCGAGTCCCACCTCTGCCGTTTTGTTGCCGCCGTGTCCCTTTGCCGCGTGCACAGGTGTGTGTGCACGTACCTGTGTTCCTGAGCGCAGGTGTGTCTGTGGAGCTGCGTGTGCACACATGCAACTGTGTACGCGACTTGCGTGTGCACACATGCAACTGTGTACGCGACTTGCGTTACACAGCCACGCATGGGCACGGACACGTCTGTCCCTGTCTGTGCACACACCTACCTGTGCTCCGTGTACGCGTGTCTGTGCACACACCTGTGCTCCGTGTACAGGTGAGCACCGACAGGTGTGAAGGTACCTGGGGGCGTGGCCAGGGAGGGGCGTGGTCTGCACGGGGGCGTGGCCAGGGAGGCGGAGCGGCCCCAGGGGCGCCGCGGCCGTTGCCGAGCGCCGGCCAATGGGCGGCGGCGTTCCTGGGAGGCGGCAGCCAATGGTCGCGCGCGTTGCTGTTGCCGGGCGGCCCGTACCGGCCGTGCCGGGGCCGCGCCGGGGCGATGCCGGGGCCGGCCCCGCCGGGCCATGGAGATCCGCTGCGGGGGACTCCTCTTCAGCTCCCGCTTCGACTCGGGAAACCTGGCGCACGTGGAGCAGGTGCGGCCGGCAGAGGCGGGGGGCGGCCCCGCCGCCCGGGCCAACGCGCTCCCCGCCGCCGACTACGAGTTCAACGTGTGGACGCGGCCCGACTGCGCCCAGACCGAGTATGAGAACGGCAACAGGTACCGGCAGGCGGGGGGAGCGAATAGGGGCGGCTGGTACCGTACGGGGGGCGCTGGGGTCGGGAGTTCCCCGGGGTCCAGGAGTGGCTGGTGCGGGGCGAGGAAGCCCCTGGAACGGGGGTCGGTGGGGTTGGGGGGCTGAGCAAAGGGGCTGGGGGGTGGCCGGCGAGATTAGAGTGCCCTGGGAGTGGGCTCAGGGGGTCTGTGCCCTCTCCCTCAGGGATCTAAGCCCCCCCGGGGGACAGACAAAGTTCGACAGGGCCGGATGGGTGGGTGGGTGGTACCATGTAGGGGTGCCCTGGGAAGGGGGTCCGTGAGGTTGGGGGTCGGAGGAGAGGGGCTGAGGGAGCCAGCGGGGTCCGGGGTGCCCTGGGAGGAGCGTCGGGGTGTCTGGTCCCTCCCCCGGGGGGAGGTGGGGGGACTCCTCGGGGGACACCCCCGGGCACAGGCTGAGCCGGCGCCGCTCCTGCCCCCTCCCAGGTCCTGGTTCTACTTCAGCGTGCGCGGGGGGGCCCCGGGGAAGCTGATCAAGCTGCACATCCTCAACATGAACAAGCAGAGCCGGCTGTACGCTCAGGGCATGGCTCCCTTCGTGCGCACCCTGCCTGTGCGCCCGCGCTGGGAGCGCATCCGGCAGCGGCCCAGCTTCCAGGTGGGACACGGGGCGGGGGGGGCTCTGGGGGCATGGACACCCCTCCCTCGCCACGGGGTGACCACTGCACTCTGCTGGGGCGGGGGAGTGGCTGGGCTGTCCCTGGCACCCCCGGGGGAAGGGGGTTAATGACAGTCCCTTCCTGGGGCTGTGCAGAGGAGGGTCCGTGGAGCTGTGGCTGGGCACAGGCCACCATGGGGTGGAACATGTGGGGGAACACAGAACTGCCCCCCGAGCACTCCTGGTGCTTCTCTTCCCCTTCACCAGGTGCCAAAGTGGCCAGAAAACAGCTCTTTGTAGCAGCAGGTGCTGCTGCCCCGGTGGGGGGCACAGCCAGGGAGGCTGGGGGAGCCCTGGGAGGCACAGCCAAGGGGTGAGATTCCCAGGAGGCTCCTTGGATGTGGTGGGAGCTGCCCGAGGGATTCCTGTTCTAGGTGCTCTTTGGTCCACGTGTGCTGCCATGGGGAGGTAGTGCCCACCTTCCCAGCAGACCCTCTGCTCCATGGAACAGGAACCAGAGAGAACCACTGAATCCCAGAATGGCTTGGGCTGAAGGGACCTTAGGGAGTTCATGCCACCACCTGCCCTGGGCAGGGACACCTTCCACCAGACCAGGTCGCGCCAAGCTCCGCCCAACCTGTCCCTGAACACTTCCAGGGATGTGGCATCCCTTCCATGCCCTGACACGGGACAGGACAGGTGTGGTTTTGCTGGTGGGGCAAGCAAGGAGCCAAAGGATCTGCAGGGAACAACCTGGTGTGCCAGGACACCAGGGGTGGTGGCTGGGCAGTGATTCCCATGGGGATAGCCAAGGGCGATCAATGCCCGAGGGAGCCAGAAGAGGGGAGTGGTGGCTGTGCCAGGGTGGCCCTGCCCCTGTGCCCAGCCCTGCTCCGTGTCTGTGGCAGGTGGTGGAGACGCAGTTCGTGCTGTCCTTCGTGCACCGGTTCCTGGAGCACCGCGGGGCCACCACCTACTTTGCCTTCTGCTACCCCTTCTCCTACACCGAGTGCCAGGACATGCTGGCACAGCTGGACGGCCGCTTCCAAGACTGCAGGCACATGTCCCCCAGCAGGTGTGCCCCCCACACCCCCTTCCCAGCCCTCTCATCCCCTTCCCAGTGTGAGAGTGCCCAGCCGGGAGCCCCCTCACTCTGGGTGCAGCTGAGGCCCCTCCTCGCCCACAGCCCCCTGGACTCTGTCTATTACCACCGGGAGCTGCTGTGCCACTCGCTGGACAAGCTGCGTGTGGACCTGCTGACAGTCACCTCGTGCCACGGCATGCAGGAGAAGCGGGAGCCGCGGCTGGACAAGCTCTTCCCAGACACCAGCACGCCCCGGCCACGCCGCTTTGCTGGGAAGAGGGTGAGTGGCCGTGCCGGCATCAGGGCCGTGCTGGGGACAGGGGGGTCAGCAGCCCCCACAGTGGCCCCTGTGTCGGTGCCTTGCTGCCACTCTCATGTCTGCAACACAAACTGTGTCATGTCCCCAAGGGCTGGAGCGTTTGGGTGGAGTGTGGGGAGCAGAGTCTGCAAGACCCTCCTGCACTGCAGTGTCGGGGGGCAGGCAGGGACCCCCCTCACCCCTGTCTGCTTGTTCCCAGGTGTTTTTTCTCAGCAGCCGAGTCCATCCAGGAGAAACCCCCTCCAGCTTTGTTTTCAATGGCTTCCTGGACTTCATCCTGCGGGAGGAGGATCCCCGTGCCCAGATGCTGCGGCGGATGTTCGTCTTCAAGCTCATCCCCATGCTGAACCCTGACGGGGTGGTGCGGGGCCATTACCGGTGAGTGCAGGGCTGGGCTGGGCTCTCCTGCCTGGAAACCTGCTCCATGTTTCATGGAATCCTTTGGGTGGGAAAAGCCCTCTGAGACCTTTGAGTCCGACCATTCCCCCAGGGCCAAGGCCACCACTAACCCATGTCCTCAAGTGCCACATCCATCCCTGCAGGGATGGGGACTCCACCACAGTCCTGGGCAGCTGTGCCAGGGCTGGACAGCCCTTTTTGTGAAGGAATTGTTCCCTATATCCAACCTAACCCTCCCCTGGCACAGCTGGAGGCTGTTTCTTCTTGTCCTGTCCCTTGTTCCCTGGGAGCAGAGCCCGACCCCCACCTGAGCTCCCCCCTCCTGTCAGGGACTTGCAGAGCCAGAAGGTCCCCCCTGAGCCTCCTTTTCTCCAGGCTGAGCCCCCCCAGCTCCCTCAGCAGCTTCTGCTGCTCCAGCCCCTTCCCCAGCTGCGTTCCCTTCTCTAGGATATCACACAGGGCTCTGCCTTGCCGAGGTTCTCGGTGCTCTGGGGCAGCCTCTGGCTGTGAGGGGGTGGTTTGGCTGTTGTACTCCAGGACAGATCCTGGAATGTTGGCATTCCGAGGTGAGCTCAGCGTTGCCGGGGCACCCTGGAAGGGTCTCACGTCTCTGCTCTCCCTGCAGAACCGACTCCCGCGGGGTGAACCTGAACCGGCAGTACCTGCACCCCGACGCCGAGCTGCACCCCGCGGTGTACGGGGCCAAAGCCGTGCTGCTCTACCACCACATCCACAGCCGCGTCCTGCCGGGCTCTCCAGACTGGAGGACGTTTGTCTCCCCGCTCGGCACCAGCTCGCTGAGCACAAAATGCCCCAACCCTCCCGTCCCAGACGCGGAGGCCGCGCTGTCGGAGCTGGACAAAGCCAACAATGCGCGGAACTCCCCCGGTGCCGGTGCCTGGTGTGCCGGCACCGCCTCCCGCCCGGACCGGGACACGCGGCTGTCGGACAGCACCGACCAGGCCACCTGGATCCTGCCCTCGAGCCACACCGACGAGCACTGTGAGGAGGGGGTGCAGAGGCCTCCCTCAGCCCCCTCGCCCGAGGCCACCGAGCCCCCCGAGCCCATCGCACCCATCGCACCCCGGGACAGTGGCCTGGCCTACTACGTGGACCTGCACGGCCACGCGTCCAAGCGCGGCTGCTTCATGTACGGAAACAGCTTCAGCGACGAGAACGACCAGGTGAGGTCAGGGCTGCTGGGACCCTCCTGCTGCTCTGCCCCCTCCCCACAGGCCCCAACCTCCCTCCCACTCCTGGGAGGGGGGTACGGAAATCCCTATCACGGCTCCTTCCTTTTCCCTTCTTTCTCCTTTCCTTCCTTATCTTACTTTTCTTTCTTTTTCCTCCTCTCCTTCCCTTCCTCCTTCTTTCCTTCTCTCCTGTCTCCTCCCTCTCCTCCCCTAGGAGGTCTCAGATTTCCCCCAGGAGCTGGTGTGGGCCAGCAGCAGAGTTGCCTTTCTCCTGAGGGATGAGGGTGGGGAAGAGCAGTGCCACTGGGCTCCCTTCCTCTCCTCCCAGGTGGCTGTCAGGAGAGCCCAGTGTGAGGTGGGCAGGGCTGGGCAGCATCCTCTGGGCACAGCTGGAGCTTGTGAGACCCTGGAACTGGAACAGAGCGGGCCCAGCCAACCCTGGTGAATCCCCACACTTGGCACTGGTCCCACTGGAGCTGAGGCCTTCCCATCACCCCTGCTGCTCTCCACAGGTGGAGAACATGCTGTTCCCCAAACTGATCTCCCTGAACTCGCCTCACTTCGACTTCACGGGCTGCAACTTCTCGGAGAAGAACATGTACGCCCGGGACAAGCGGGACGGGCAGTCCAAGGAGGGCAGCGGGCGCGTGGCCGTCTACAAGGCCCTGGGCATCATCCACAGGTAGGGCAGCACCGTCCAGCCTGGCACTGAGTGCTCGTGCTGGGCATGGGACTGGGGGAAGGAGGAACCAGTCCCATGGGATCGCCCTGTCCTGCATGGCTCTGGGGCAGGTCAGCAGAAGCCGGGCCTGGCTGTGCTGCTGTGTTCCTGAGGCAGAGGCTCAGCCAAGCCCTCCGCCTCCTCCCTCTCCACACTCTTCCTGCAGTTGCTCTGGTTTCTCCTCCCCGCTCTTGGATGGCTTTCCAGGGGGAATTCTCTTTCCGAGACATTCGTGTCTGTGTTGAGCTGTAATTAAGCTGAGTTGCCGTGGGCGCAGGATCCCCATGGCTGTGTGTGAGATTCCAGCCTCAGCCCATCTGTGATCCCAGGAGCCGGGGATACCTATGATCCGCCCCCTCCCACGTGGCATGGGATATTCCTGGCCCGTTTCTGTGCTGGGAACACACCACTGGCAGCCAGACCCACAGAAGGGAGGTTCTCTCCCGTTTCCTTGGTGCTTACCGTGCACTCGGCCCCTGCTCTGTGCCCAGCTCTGGTGGGTCAGGGACACACCGATGCAGCCATACAGGAACACACACACAGCAGGTTGGGCTTGGTGGTACTTTGCTCTGGGCTGGCCCGGAGCAGCCCGGGGTTGATCCAGCAGTGACATTCCGAAAGGTGCTGGGAGTGCTCTCAGTGCCTCTGTGGTGCCTCAGGCAAATAGGGATGGAGCTGCTCAGGTTTTCTGCTGGACTGGCCCTGGAGCTGTCTCTGCCCAGTGGGACAGATGGGAGCCCTCCCAGCCAGCAGTTCCCAGCCCCTCTTCTCCTTCCCACCTCTGGGATGGCTCGCTCAGGGACACCTCGGAGGCTGGGGGAGGCTGTGGCTGCCCACTCCCTGGATTGACATGAGACACTTCCCTTTCTCCATCAGGGACCCCCCATTCTCCATCACCTTCCAGAGGTGATTGAGAGGTCCCCTCACAGGCACCTCGGCACTTTGGGTGCCACCCTTAGACCCCCACGAGCTCCATCCCAAGTTCCCATCACACTGATCTCTGGTATGTCCACACATCCTCGCGCAGGAGACAGGCCATTCCTGCCATCAGAGCACACTCCTCGAAACCTGCAGCTTTCCTGTGCACCAGCTCCACCGAAGTGGCTCTCCCAGAGGGACATGTGGGGTCACCCCAGCCCTGCTGAGGGTCTGTGGAGTAACAGTGGCTCCCTTGTGCCCCACAGCTACACCCTGGAGTGCAACTACAACTCGGGGCGCTCGGTGAACAGCATCCCGGGGGCCTGCCATGACAACGGCCGTGCCAGCCCCCCGCCCCCGCCCGCCTTCCCCTCCCGCTACACTGTGGAGCTCTTTGAGCAGGTACAGGGGGCCCAGCTGAGCCGGGGGAGGGGCTGAAATCCGGAGGCTGGGCTGGGAATCGAGGCTGGGCTGGGAATCGAGGCTGGGGTTACTTTTCTCCATGTGCTTTTCTGCCCTGTGCTCTGGGAAGCTGCCCACTCTCCCCAGTGCTCCCCCTCCCCAGTGTCCTCTCTCCTGCTATATCCCCTCCTCTCCCCATGACCCCCTCACCGTTGCCCCACCCCGATGTCCCCCCTTCCCTGTGCTCCCTCACTGTGCCCTGTGCCGTGCAGGTGGGTCGGGCTGTGTGCCCCTCGTGTCCCCTCACTGTGCCCTGTGCCGTGCAGGTGGGCCGGGC